GGGAATGGCCGAGCCCTCAGAGCAACAAAAACGGGAACGGCTGACCCCTCAAAGCAACAGGAACGGCTGAGCCCTCAGAGCAACGGGAGTGCAAATAGCTGACCCCTCAGTGCCCAGAGAGCGGGAACGGCCAAGCCCAAAAAGAGCCCTGGACATGGCAACGGCCGAGCCCTCAGAGCAACGGGGGCAGGAACGGCCGAGCCCTCAGAGCAATGGGGGTGGGAACGGCTGAGCCCTCAGAGCACTGGAAATGGAAACGGCCGAGCCCTCAGACCTACGCGGGCTGGAATGGCTGAGCCCTCAGAGCAGCAGGAGTGGGAACGGCCGAGCCCTCAGAGCAATGGGGGCAGGAACGGCTGAGCCCTCAGAGCAGCGGGAGAAACGAGCCCTAATCAGGGGCACCTGAACCCAGGAAAATGGGGTTAATCCTGAAATTGTGAAACAAGGAAAAGTACTTGGGTTGTGATTTATTTACTAATCGAGCCACCTTCTCCAGTCCCTGTGATGGGATTTGGCAACCTGCTGCAAATGGGGCAAGAGAGTTTGGAGCAGCAGTTTGCAAGACTCTTTTGTACCAGGGAATATTTGCAGGTTTCTACTGCCCAAGAGGCTGGAATTTTGTGCTGGAACCCCAGGGTATCACTGAAACAGTTCAGCACTTTGGGAAGCAGCTTTTGCCTCCCAAAGACTCCGTCCTGGGGCCCTCCGGACCCCTGGGCTGCTCCCCCAACACATCAGTGTGACATGTGGCTGTCCCCATCGCCTGGGGCTGCCAGTGCTCACCTCAGGCACCATGCATTGCAATAATCTTATTTTAATGAGCATTAGGACATCACATCATCCACTTCTGCCCACTGCTGCCATTTCACTGGACCTTTGGATCAGAGATTTATGCCAAACTGAGGCATATAAGACTGTGAGAGTGAGGTTGGAAAGAGAAACACAGCTGAGGTTTGCCTGGCTCTGGAAAACCCATTGAAGCTGTTGGGCAGCTGTTTTCCTCTTTTTGTTGGGGTGCTTGGAGTTAGCAGAGATGCTGAAAATAAGTGGAAAAGAGGGAAGACCTTACTCTATACTGTTTAGAGGATGTAGTTCCTTGATTGTATACCAAGCTGGAGTGTTAGCTGCTTTGCAGGACTTGTCTCCTGACATAATGAAATCTGCATACAGGGTCTATGGAGCATCTTCAGGATCTATTATAGCTACAGCAGCATTGTGTGGATGTGATCTGGGTAAGGACTACAGATTTCTGTTTTTTTCTGTCTAAAGAGATGGAATACCTGGGAATTTTAGAGATACAAAAGATTTTTGTATCATTATCAGTGATTATTTCCTCAGATTTTTACTTTATTGGCTTCTTGAAGAGTGGAAAACATGGGTAAATTAAGCAGCACAGAGAAAAGAGAGTCTATAAATTCATGGCATCTTATTAACTGGAATTCAAGGCAAGCATATCCAATAAAAGAAAGAGAGGTGCTCTCCCTCATAAGGCATTAGGGATTGTTGGTAGATTCCCAAAAAAAAAGGGGACACAAATCACATTAGCCAGGCGTAGATGAAGAGCTAGCAGGAGGAAATGTTATACAAAGGCTTCCTGTCCGTTTTCTCCCACATGTCCAACAACTTTTAAGATGCCTTGTGCAGAAAATTGGAAGAAATGGGAAAAGAAAACAAATACTTCTGCCTCCTGCAATAATGGAAGTCCTTGGAAAACTTGGTTCCAGTCATTGGAGCTTTAGCCCTGATGAAAAACAATGGCTCTAAATGAGCATTTTGCAGCCGAGTAGAATACCCCATCCATGCCCAGGTGGAAGTGTAGCTCAGAAAGTGCATAAATGACAATATAAGGAATGTAGAATGATTGTTTTGTTTTGCTTTGCTTCAGATGAGATAATTGAGTACTTCCTCAGTCACTTGAAAATCTCTCTCTGGGGGATGGTCTATGGCGGAAGGGTACCTAGACTCTTACGGGAGACCTTAGACAAATTCCTGCCGCCGAATGCCCACGAGCTGGTGTCTGGAAAGCTGCACATCATCCTCACCCGCCTGCACGACTGGAGATGTGTGACAGTGTCCGAGTTTGCCTCAAAGGAGGAGCTGATTCAGGTGGGAGCAGCCACAGCCACCCCGTGAGGGAGGAGCTGGGTGACATTTGCTGCCTGGCCATGGCCCACAGCACAAAATCACCAAATGGTTTGGGCAGGATGGGACCTTAAAGCTCATCCAGTTCTACCCTGTCCTGGCTAGGGACACCTTCCTCTGTCCCAGGTTGGTCACAAGCCCTACCAAACCTGGCCTTGGATGTTTCCAGGGATGGGGCAGCCACAGCTTCTCTGGGCACCCTGTGCAGGGCCTAAACATCCTCATGGTAAAAATTATCTTCCCAATACCTAAATCTCCCCCCTTGCAGTTAGAAACCATCAACCCTTCTCTTAATGTAAGAGGCCTTGGTCCGTTCTAGACTATGACCTGATTTATGTCCTTGCCTCCCTCTGAATGCAGACAAGCTAAAATAATTTTTAAATATCAGACATTCTAAATGATGTCTGAGTTATCTTGAACATGCAGAGAGCAATTTGAGGCATTTCATAGGTTCCCTTCCTACTTATCTGCCCTGGCTACAGGTATCAGACAGGGCCTGGTGCCCATTAGTCAGTGGTGCCCAGTAACCCAGCTGGGGGCCCTGTTTTGGCACACACAGATGAGCCACCCCTCCCAAAGGTAACAGTTTCTGTGGCTTTTTGCTCATCTCTGCCCTTCCCATTTCACCCACAGGCTCTGACATGCAGCTGCTTCCTCCCGCTGTATTTTGGGATTTTCCCTCCAAAGTTCCGTGGGGTGGTGAGTAGCTTTGTGGTCTGGAGACCCTGTCCCAGCTCAGGCCAGGGCCCCTCCACCCTCTGTCCTTTCTCCACTACTGGCATTAAGGAACTTTCTACCTGGGTTTACCACCAATGTAGCTCAGGACTGGGGTCCTCCAGCGTCTGCAGAGGGGAAGAACAGGGGTCCAAAATCTCAATTCACTGCAGACAGGACTGAGCTTCTCACTGAATTGTCCATTTCCCCTGTCCCTGGGCTTTCCTCAGCTCCCTTCTGCTCCATTTTGTTCCCAGTTTCATTGCAGCAGCTTTCTGGGGGGAAGGGACACGGGCGGGTGCGCCCCTGCAGCAGGGGAGCAGCGGGTGGGGCAGTTCCCTGAAGGGGATCTGTGGGAACCCTGAACCTCAGCCTGGTGTGGGCCTGCCTGGGGAACAAGGCCCCCGTCTGCCCGTGTGAACAGCATTGGGAAGGCTCAGGGCTCCCTGTTCTGCCTGCCAGCGCTACGTGGACGGGGAGCTGGCCATGTGGAAAGCCGACTTCGTGTCCCGCAGCACCATCACCATCTCTGCCTTTGCCGGCGAATACGACATCTGCCCCAAGGACGGCCCAGCTGCGTTTCTGGCCTTCCAGCTGTCTGATTCTATCTTCCAGATCTCAAAAATGAACATTTGCCGCTTATGGTACATTTTTCAGGTTCCCACTCGTCAGGTGAGCAGCTCCTCCAGGTAGCCAGAGACATGAGCCCCCTGCAGCAGCCCAGCTGCCCTGACTGCCACCTCCCCTCACAGGTCATGGACCAGTTTTATATCCAGGGCTACCAGGACGCAATCTCCTTTCTAAAACGACTGAGTAAGTGACTGCAAGAGGGGACACGTAGCTTGGGGGCTTCCCTTACATCCTTGGTGCCCTGACAAAAAGGAAAGAGATGCTGCCCCAGAGTGACTGGGGCAGACAAATGCCTGCACTCCTGGCACTGCCACGATTCCCTGAGTCCTGGTGGCTCCTGAGGCTGCCTCGGGAGCCACACTCCCCTCTTCTCTGCCACACTGGGCTTGACAGAGCTTTTCCCAGGGAACACAGGTCCCAGGACCTCTAGACACAAGCGCGGGCTCACGTGCCCTGTGTGGTGTTTGATCAGCCCCTGATGCACAGAGCAGCAATGTTTGGTGATCCCTGAGCCCTGGGGTCATCGGTGTCCCTGATTTCCACTCAGCCCAGGTCATGCCTCACACGGCTGCAGACCTGGCAGGTGAGCAACAAGCAGTGAGAGCTGCAATCTCTTCCCACCAGGGGATTTCCAGGTGAATTACTTTGAGGGCTTCACACTTTCCTTGGCCCAGGAGGAAACCCTGCACCTGAAGCCACGACTCAGGGGTCTTCACTCCAGAGCCACAGATCATGAGGAGGACACCAAAAAGAATCCGGGGATCAACAAGGCAGTGGATGAAGAGCAATAGGAAGCCCCACACCACCTTCCCCACCCCCAGGAAGGTAAAGAACCAGCACTTCCTTTACCCCATCAATTTTCATGTGACACTTGCCCAGGGCTGTCACTGCCCAAAGAGGCTCTGGGACAGGGGGGAACATCAGAAATGGGAGAAAGTTCCCTCTCAGGTCAGGGATTACAGGTGAGGCCTCACACTGAGCCCTCACCCTCGACTTGGGTCAGCATTGAGGACTTCCTTGGTGGCTGGCTCAGAAGGGCTCCGTGGAGAAGGAGCTCTTTCCATGCAGAATGCCATGTGTTCACTCACCCAGTGAGGTAAGAACAGGTTCTGCCCACACCTCCCTTCAGTAGGGGTGTCTCAATGGTTCACGTTGCCTTGGCTGTGCCAGACAAATCCAAACTTCTCCTTAGGAACTCTCCATGCAGCCAAACAAATACTTAATGCAAGGAAAGAATATTAGAGGCACAGGTAAACATCTTGCTATATCATTTTCAAGCAACACAAGGCAAGTTTAACTTGAAAAATTTTTGTTTTCTGCAATCATATTCCAAATAATGAACACTGCCATTTTTTTGCATGGAAAATCAGTGAATCGTGTCATTTCAGTTTGCACTTTTTGGTTACTGAGAAATACAAAGAAGCATCTGATTAAATGCAGTCTTTCTTTCAATTTTACTCTTTATTTTCTCTTTCCTTATGAATCTTTGAACAGTTCAGAATTGATCAGATTAAGTAAAATTACACAGCTTTTTCCACAGGACAATTATTTTCAATGGAGCCACATGAATTAAATGAAAAGTGATGAAAGACACAATGTGCTATATCTAGAAGGTCTAGAAGAAATGAGAAATATAAAGGGAAAAGACTAGGACCATTACCATTCCAGATCTAAAAAGAAAAGTATGGAAAACATTAAATGGAAGCAAGAAAGATACTTCCTTTGAGAATAAACCAACTCCCAATCCACTAAGAAATGCAGGACACAGTGTTAGGCTGTAGAAGTTGCTTCCCTGGTGGCTTTTTTAAAGGCTCCATCAGTCTCAGCAATGGGCAGCTTGTGGAAGTAACAAGGTGGGAATGAGGTTTCTTTGGGAGTTGGGCAGCTCTGGGCTATCAGGAATCTCTGCCTCTGCTGTGCAGCTGGGCCTCAATGTTTTTGACCAGTCTCAGGAGAAAAATTCCTCCTGTGGGAGGAGTCAAGGCTCATTTGTTAGGCCAGAGAGCAATCAAGGGGTGAGTCCAGGCTCTCCATCTCCAGAGCAGAAGCACATCAGATTTTCCAGTTCTGGGAAGGAAAAGCAAAAGCCCTACTGATCAAGGCCAGCAAAAGGCTCTTGCACTCTTTCTCTGTGCAATGCCAGAACATCAGTGATGCTACCGCAGCTGCAGGGGGATAAACTGGGGAACAACTTGTACTTGATTTCCTGGACAAGTGTCTGCAGCCTGCAATCCCACGAGGCTCAGGCTGCACTAGCAGCTTGTCCACAAGCACTTGCAGGTTATCCGTGTGCCCAGCAGGACAATTGCACAAGGAATTGCACCCTCCTTAGTGCCCAGACTGGAAACAGAGGCTGGCATAAAGCACCTGCAGCCCACAGCCAGAGCCACAGGCAGGACTGGGCACGTGCTTGGCTTTGCTGGGCTCAGTTTCACGCATCACACTCAAGGACTCTTCCCTCTAGACCTGCAGTGGGATCCAGCTCCAGAGGGAGGAGCTCTGCTGTCTTGGCTTGTCTCCAGACTCTCATCCCATCCCCCTCAGCCTTCACATTTCTGATGAGGTTGAAGCCAAATGAGACAAGCAACAGGACAGGGCTACAGGGGTAATACTTTGAGGATACCAAAACCGCCTGCCATGTAGACAACAGGAGGAAGGGAAGCAGCTCTGACTGGAACCCACTTTGTCCCACAGGATCTGCCAGAGGTGTCTGTCAGATTGACCAACGTGGTTTTCTTCCCTTTAGGACCAGGCTGAAGAGCATTTCTGAGCCCGCGGCTGCCTTTGGCCCCAGTTTCTGCTTTCAAGAGGCAATGAGCAACTTGGAACCCAGCCTGAAGGCTGAGCCTGACCTGCCCCAAGGAGCACATGGACTGTGCCAGCAATGTCTCAGCACAGGCAGGGCCACAGCTCCCACATGATTCCCATGATCCATCCCCAGAGGAGACATTCTAGGCTGCTTCTATGCCCACTGCGTGCAGCTGGGCTTCCCACTTTGCTTCCTTGGGGTGAAACAAGCTCCTGCACAAGATGATTCCAGTCTATGCCAAACTTCACCTCTAGCCACTGCCTCTGGCCAAGCCTCCATTGCCATTAGCTCCAAGCTCATGTCTCCCAGAGGAGACAGCACCAGCTCTGCTTGCTTGAAAAGATGAGGGATTAATAAAGCAAAACCCAGCTGATCGGAATACTCAATTCTGTAAATATTTATTTCTTCCTCATTCCTGCAGGTTTGGAGCAGGAGGATCCTGCTCTGAGACCATTTTAACTTGGGGGCTCCTTGCAGATTGATTTTTCCTAAAGTTCTCAAAGTTTTACAATTGTTTATGATCAAGCACCACATGGGGCAGGTGAGATACACTGGGCAGTTCAAACTGTGCTCCTCTTTGTGGCTGAGGTTTGTAGATACTTTTAATGGATTTGGATGTCCAATTCCTAGATGAGAATTTTCTTTGGGGGATTTAAATGCCCGTTTCCATAGGGTAACTGCCTCAGGCTGACTGAAATGGTAATATCCTGCCAGGAGGTGGGGATGGTGCTTGCAGCAGCCTGGAGAAGGAGCTGTTGGATAAGTGGGAGCAGAGTTGAAAAAGCAGATGATGGGCTGATTGTCCCTGCCTGGGGAGGCGTGAGTGTCTATGAGCCTTCCACTTTGCCCTGTGGCAGGAACAGCTGGATTTGAGCAGCCTGCCTTAGGCTGCAGTGCTTGAGAGGTGTAAATCCATCCAAGATGGTTCAAAGACAGGAGCACACAGGATCCAAAGCAAATGGGATCTGTCAAAACGTCCCATAAAAAGTTACAAGGGGACTGGAGCACCTCCCCTATGGAGACAGGCTGAGAAAGTTGGGGCTGTTCAGCCTGGAGAAGAGAAGGTTGGATGGACACCTCTGGTGGGCAGGCCCAGGCCCAGGGTGCTCAGAGCAGCTGTGGCAGACTCTGGATCCCTGGCAGTGTCCATGGCCAGGCTGGACGGGGCTTGGCATAATGAAGGTGCCTCTGCCATGGCAGGGAATTGATCTATGTGATCTTTAAGGTCCCTTTTAACCCAAACTATTTTATGACTTATGAAATAAGCATCCAGGTTTCTTTTAGCAAATCCATTCCAGGGAAGGTATTCCCAAGTCACTCATTTGAACTAAAGATGGCAGAAGACAGAATATTGCTCTTTTGCTCAGCCCTCCTAGTTAACTTTGAGTCTGATTACATCAAAGCTGCCTTCAGCTACTCCCCCCATTAATTTCTGCAGTCTCCACAACCCTTTGCATGAAACTTCCCTCTGTTCCATTTCTCCTTGTCCAATGAAACAGGCTATTTACTCTAATAAACAGCTGCTGCTCTTGGGATCCATTTGTTGCCTGTTGGGAACCAACAAACAGAGGATACACAGGTGGGCCAAAGACAATCCACAGCTTCTGATATGCAGCACAATTTTTGGATAATTAAGAGTGCTGCTGATTAATTCTGTGTGCAGACCAGTGACACAGGGTGTGTTTGCCTGGGCCATGATCTGTGGTGGCTGTGACTTACAGACAATTGCATGAGAAGAATTCACATATTTGTGAAATGTCAGGAGATGTAGCCTGCAGGACTCAGAAGTAGGGGAAAGTTGATCTTTAGGTTTCTCCATCCTTCTGCACAGCTGCAAGTTCCAAGGGAATCCAAATGCACTCCCACCTCCACAGGCAGGAGAAGCAGGGCTTTGGGGAGGTGTGAAGCTCAAGAATTGATAATTGGTAAAAAAAACCTAAGGGAACTGTATAAAAAATTAGTTCCTGCCCAGTATGATGCTCCCTAAGGCTTTTCTCTCTCTCTCTGAGGAATTTCTCTTGAAGTTTTTGAGTGTGAGGAAAACACTTAAAACGTGGCATTTCCTGGCAACTGCCTACCCTGTAATCTGCATTAAAGCATGGAAGAGATGCTGCTGGTGGAGAGGAGATAGAGTAGGCAGGGAAAGGACTGAGTTATGAGGTCTGCAAGTGAAGCTGCCCCATGGCCCCTGCAGCCTGGGGTGGGTCCCAGGAGCAGCACTGGAGCTTTTTCTCGGTCGTCATGGAAAAGCAGGTGAGGCCAGAGCAGGGTCACTGCAGTGGCAGCACTGCAGATAGAGCTAGACAGGTTCTGAAGAAAGAAATACTCCATGAAAATTCCCTCGAGAACCAGCAGCCATGCTGGTGTTGCCCACTATATTCCAAGGCAGCGCTTCAGACCCCCAGGGCACCACTGGACAATCCTTGTTACCTGTGGGAACAAGGTGAGAGCTGAGGCAGGGGCAAGCTACTGACAGGGATAAGCAGCCCCAGGAATGTTTGACTCCAAAGGATTTTCTCACAGCTGAGGAGTTTGCAGCTGCCTCAGGGCAAAATCATTCTGAGTCTCTTGGGCAGCTGCACAGGAGGGAACTTGCAAGCGGATTTTGGGGGGATATGCTTTAAATCCCTGAAAGCTTAGTGCCAGAACATCTCTCAAGATCTTGGTGAATGTGCCTTGGTGAATGTCTGCCAGGACAGAGCCCAGCAGATGAATATCTGGAACACAAATGTATTGCCGTAGGGAGGTGGCACTAAGCTGGTTTGTAGCTTCTTTGAAATATCAAAATAATATCACAGGGATAAAAAAAATAGCTACTTTTAATGTGGGCTACTCCAGATTTGGAGTTTTTAGCCACACTCACCATTAGTGACCCAGTGGGTGAGATTCCCAAAGACTCCCTGCTCTGCACCCTTCTCTCTTTTTGCTGAGGGTCTGCAGCCCCCCAGCCCCTCACCTCCTGTCCACAGCTGTCTTAGGCAAACCAGGCACCAAGGTTTGGAGGATGTTGTGGAGTCGCTGTACCAGGGACCTGACACCTTCCAGCAGCCCCCACACCTTCTTCACCCTGCAAAAGCAAAGTACATGGGCTGAGTTTAATGATGGCTGAAGGCAGCAAAAGGGGAGGGTGTTCATAATAAATGCACGCTGTAATAATCTTTTCCATTAGCAAGAGATGCTGTGGCATTCCTGCCAGCCCCACCCGCTCTCCCTCGGATCTTGCCTTCAGGAAACACCAAATCCCTCCATGTGTCCCTTCAGCTGTCCCACCACTGCTAAAGGCACAGCCCCTGGTTTGTGTGTCATTCCCTCATGCCCCTGTTGGGATGTCCTTACCCCTTCCTGAGCAAGGCTGGGAGCCTGTATGGCTGCAGCAGGACCTTTGCCAGTGGGTCCTGCAGTCCATTCACCTGCTCCTTCTTCCACAAGCCTGCACCCAGGAATGACAGCACAGAAGGAAATAAAGACCAGTAATTGCAAACAATTAAATAAGTGCAATAACTCCTCTTGCCCAGCTTAGGTAGGTAATGAAGCCCAGGCCAAACTCCAGCTGGAGTCACTCTTACAAAGTCTCTTTGCAATAGAAATATTTAATAAATAACTCAGTAATGTCTTAAATATAACACTGCTGCTCTTGAAGGCTGCAGCAGCCCTAAACCCAACCTGAGCACCCCAAATCCTCTACCTGGCAGGAAGTAAGGGGTCAGGCACTGAGGGACCCTTTTGCTCAGGCCGGAATGTGTCCCATTGGATTTTCCAGAGTCATTCTTCCCACAGGTGCTGCCGAAGCGGAAATTGCCGTCGAAGTAGTTAAAGCCAAAGGCATCTGGGAGACACAGAGAGAAGGGGTTGATGTTTGTCTGTGTCACACCAAGATGCCCCTTGGGTCCTGGGGTGCCACTTACTGTTCCTGTACAGGAAAAGGGCTGTGTCCTGGTAACCCTGGGAGAAAATGTCGTTCAAGACCTGCAAGGAGAAACACTTGAGGTTATTAAAGAGCCCTGACCCCAGTACAACAGGATCTACCCAAAGCTGTTTGACTGTGGAGGGCTGGGATGGCTCATTTGGGAAGGCAGCAAGCACTGGTTGGTTTCCAACCACCACAGCACCGGTCAGAGAAACAGAGCGGTTTGTGACCGTGTTCACAGGGGTCTTAGGATGAGGGAAGAGACGAGGATCTGACTCTATGTTTTAGAAGGCTTGATTTATTATTTTATGATATATATTATATTAAAACTATACTAAAAGAATAGAAGAAAGGATTTCATCAGAAGGCTAGTTAAGAATAGAAAAAGAAAGAATGAATAACCAAAGCTTGTGTCTTGGACAGAGAGTCCAAGCCAGCTGACTGTGATTGGCCATTAATTAGAAACAGCTACATGAGACTAATCACAGATGCACCTGTTGCATTCCACAACAGCAGAATAATTATTGTTTACATTTTGTTCCTGAGTCCTCTTGGCTTCTCAAGACAAAAAAATCTAAAGATTTTTCATAAAATGTATCTGTGACAGTGGTTTGGGTTGCAAGGGACCTTACAGATCACCTGGTTTTGTCTGGTCCTTTGCAGGTTGTGGACCCCATCCCAAGCTGGCCACCCATCAGCAGTGTCCCTTCCCCAAAATGTACTGCATAAACAGTGGTGCTGCCCCCTCCCTTTGAAATCCCATTAATTAACAGTGGAGATTGAGCTGAACTTTAAATCTCGAGCAGGCCGAAGCAGCATTAATCTTTTCACCAGAACTAAGCTGGGAGAAGCCCTGGTGGTCTCACCATGGTGCTGGGTGGATAGAGAGCATAGCTGATCCTGCACAGGTTCTCTATGGAGATCTGGATGCTGCCGTTGAAGATCTGGAAGCAGAAGAAGATGGCGGGGCAGTCGCGGGGGCAGATGTCCAGCTCGCCGGTGAACGGGGACACGGTGATCACGGGCTCCTCCAGGCTGGACACGGGCTGCAGGCCAGTGAAACCTCCATCCACGTAGCGCTGGGGGAGGAGCACAGGGACCTCACAGACATGTTTTATGAAAAATCCTTTTGCTAGGATTTTTCTCCTGAGAAGCTGAGAGGCCTCAGAAACGAAATGTAAACAATGATTATCTGCTGCTGTGGGATGCAACAGATGCATCTGTGATTGGTCTCACGGGGTTGTTTCTAATTAATGGCCAATCACAGCCCAGCTGGCTTGGACTCTCTGGTCAGTCACAAAATTTTATTATCATTCTATTCTTTTCCCTTGCTAGCCTTCTGATGAAATATTTTCTTCTATTCTTTTGATATAGTTTTTACACCAAAACTATAATATAATATAATATAATATAATATAATATAATATAATATAATATAATATGATATAATGTAACGTAACATAACGTAACGTAACGTAATACATATATTAGTATATATCATATATCATATATCATATATATATATACATAATTTCCTTTAATATAATATATATCATAAAATAATAAATCAGCCTTCTGAAACACGGAGTCAAGATTCTCATCTCGTCCTGGGACCCCTGTGAACATCACCACAGAGGGAGGGTTTGCTCTGGGGGCCTTTGCAGTGTCACTGAGTTGGGAGCCAGCACCTGCACAGGTGACACTCCTGTCATAAGCTCATCCCAGCTTGTCCTCCCTTTCCACTTCCAACAGCATCGTGTCCCACCTGTGCTCTTTATCCCTTTGCTAGCTCCTTCCCCTGCCTGTGGCACCCAGCCAGCTCCTCAACCAGGTCTGCAATCCACAGCAGTTATTAAAATGGAAATATAATTATTTTCATTCACAAAGCTTTGTACAACAGATTTTGGCAGTCAAGAGCCAATTCAGACATCACTGAATGCACAGTGTTGTATAACTTTTCAAGTCCTGAGCTCAAGCAGCAGGGCCCTCATGTTTAATAACTGCCTGCAGATTTATGAGGTATTACATACTGGGCAAGGAAAATGCCAATTGCTCTACTCCAAAAGAAATCTGGATTTACCACCTCCCTCAGTGGGATTGGAAGTTGCAGCTGATGGAATTAAATGTTGTTGAAATAACTGTGCAGAGAGGCCTCACAGAGCAATCACAGAACTGGGGATGGGTTGGGTTGGAAGGCACCTTAAAGCTCATTTCATTCCAACCCCTGCAATGGGCAGGGACACCTTCCACTATCCCAGGTTGCTCCAAGCCATGTCCAACCTGGCCTTGAACGTTTCCAGGGACCTCAGAGACCCCGAAGGGGCTCCAAGAGAGTTTGAAGATGAAGTGACAGGACAAGGGGCAATGGCTTCTCACTGCCATTAGGGTTAAATGGAATATTGGGGAGATATCTTTTCCTGTGAGGATGGTGAAGCCCTGCACAGGTTGCCCAGAAAACACTGCTGAGCTCCTCCTTCGCTCCCTCAGACAGGCAGAGCAGGGAAATGCTCAGGGCTGGGGGAGGATCCTCCCACGAACTCTGGATGTCTCAGCTGTGCAAGTCAGCACCTGAGCCGAGGGATGAACCTGCCCTGCAGCCAGGCCCTGCCCAGGATAACTGGATTGTGTCTCAAAGTCCCCACTGTGGACGTCCTCTTATCTCACTCAGAGATCTGCAAGGTCATCCACGCTCTGTCCATGGGCAAAGCAGGAGAGGGCTCTCCAGATGGCAATTCCACCCAGCTGTCATCTTAGGATGCGGTGAAGAACAAGCTGATGGGCTTCATGATCCTCCATCAACTAAAGGAAAAGCCTGGACACACCTATCCCTCCCTGTTCTGTATATTCCTTCTTTACAGAGGAGTGTAAAGTTCAAATCAAGAACACCCTGCTGGGAGTGTGTGTTTTAGGGGAAATATCACTCACCACTCCTCGGTAGGATGGAGGGATGAATCCACAGTAAATTGGAAGAAAGCAGCTGCAGAGGAGAGCCTGGGGAGGAGAGGGATTGCAGAAGTCAATGTTCCTGTCAAAGTTATTCTACACAAAAGCTGTTGACGTGGTGCCTGAAAATTCAGCCTTGACAAAATCTGGAACCAGGTTGTTGGTGCCACCTGGACTTTGCTGGGGACTGTGGCAAGAAAGGCTTCAAAAAAGGGAAAACATCTTATTTCTCTGAAGTGGAAAGACTTCTCTGGAGCAGGGCACAGCACTGCATTTTTTTAATTTTATAGCTGCCAGAATTAATAGTTGTAAATCTACATGTCTGTGTCCAACACTGCCCTTTGATGGTGGCAAACTGAAGCTTTGGGGCCAATTTCCATCTTTGCGGGTTTTTGGACAAAACCAAGACACCCTCACAAGGTAGCCTCACCCTGATGGGATTTGTCAGTGTTAAAGCCACTTCTGGGACATTTGGAATCCTTTCCCACCCAATCTCATCAGCTGGGAATAAGCACCCCAGGCTCTTGGGCTACCTAGAGGAGGCACCATGGGGTCAACTCCAACATCTCCATGGAGCTGCCATCCTCTACTGTCTCTCTGGGACAAGGGGAACAGGACCTCAGGGTCAACTCTGTTAGGACTTTACCCTGGGATTCTCCCCCCTAGCAGATAATTTACTGGGTAATGAGCTGCTTGTTGTTCAGCAGCAGCTTTGTCCAGCTCTTTCCTCCCAGGAAAGTGCTGAGGCAACAAGAAAACCATTGCCAGATGGCTGAGGAGAGACCTGTAGGGAGAGCTGAGAGGTCACATCAGCACTGACAGGGCTCTGCAAAGTCACTACCAGAGCCCAAACATCAGCTCTGTGAGGCTGCAAACAAACCTGCTGCTTTTTTTAGCATGATTTGTTCCATCTGATCCTGGAACTCAAACCTTCCTCCCCAGGCTCATGGAGCCCATTGTGGTGGGACCACGTCTGTGGCAGAGCCTCCTGAATCTCTCCCCATCTCAGGTAGAAAAAGTGCAGTTAAAGCCACCAGCACTTGGGACGCGTCCATATTCAGGTCTGTGTACCTGAATGAGCTCCTCCTTGGAGCTGAACTCTGAGGCCATGACGTTCTGGCCGTCCACCACCCGTGTCAGGGAGATGTGCAGCCTCCCTGAGGCCAGCAGGTAGGAATCCTCTGGCAGCATCCGCTGCAGGACAGTCTTGAGTTTGGCCAGCAAGCTGCACTTGGGAGACAGGGGCCCCAGGATGGTTTTCCTGACTTCTGTTGCCATTGCAAAGAAAAACTCCTTGAGGTCATCTGAAAGAAGATGAGAAGGTCAATATGCCTGCTGCACTAACAGTTATATTTTAAATCCTATTTTTAACACTCTTCACAAATAAAGCTTCTTGCAGCCCCTCTGTGTTACCCCAGGATGATACTGCTGCTACAGTGGGGGATGTAGAGGCAGGGCAGAAGTGGGGCATGATCCCCATAATGTCCTCAAAGGACATCATGTCTTTGTGTGACCCCACTGGTGAAATCCCCACCTGCACCAGAGATGGGGCCTCAAGATGTTCCTGGTCAGGATTAGGGAAAGGCTCCAGAGAGCCCCAGGAAGGGGGACACTGATTTATCCATGACATCATGACTTGCACAACAAATTCCTGCTCTCCACCTCCAGTTTTCCACATGGGCAGCCCCAGCTTTACAAGGGAGCTGGGCTGGGTCCTGGGTGAGGATGAGGGGCACCTCTTCTGCTCAGGGCTTTCCTGCAAGCCAGGTGTCCTGGCTCCACACACATTGCTGGGATTCCTAACTCACCTGAGCTCAGGGGAGGTGTTAATAGCCATGACATGTCTCTGCACATCCCAGGAGCTGGGTTAAAGGAGCAGAGCCCTGGACGCCCAGCTGAGGGCTCAGGAGACTCCAGGTTTTAAAGTGATGGAGAGGAAGAGGAGTGCAGCAAACCCTGCAGGCAGCCTGATCCCATAGAGGGAATTTAGTTCCTTTGCTGACATGGAGGTCTCACCTGGGGGAACACCCCACCTGCGGGGTTAAACCCATGCAGTGACAGCTTGTCCAGCACCAAAGCTGCAAAGAATTGTCCTTGCACACAGGGTGGGACCCTGCACCAGCACGAGGCCATGGGCCTGGCTCAGCACCAAGGCTTTGCAGGGACAGAGGTTTCCGTGCAGTCTCATGGGATTGTGCGGACAGACAGACGGATTAGGCGCAGTGTCCTGAGGGCAACTGGAGCCACACAGGCGTTAAGAGGGGTTATGTGTGTTAGAGCAGATGCTGAGGCCACACGGGGCCACGATTAACACTGGGCAGGTTTGCACAGAGGGGATGCTGAAAGAGCCAGACCTCCAGGGAGGTGGGGCATGCCCAGGTCTCTGTCTGCCTGCTCTGTGTCCCGGAAATGGGGGAAAACATGGGAAAAACTGCCCACAAAAACTGCTGGGTAAGAGGTGAGAGCCAAGCCCAGCTTTGCAGAGCGAGTGAAGGATGAGTCTGGCAGCAATGTGACTGTCCCTGCCTGCACCAGCTGGGTGACAAGCATGTCCCCACGAGGTGGCTGGCGGGGTCACAGAGGACAGCCTGGCTCTGGGAGCTCAGAGCTCCTCAGGCAGCCCAGGGCAGGGGACGGGCACCTCACTGCAGCCACTGTGGGACACCAAACACACCTTTCACCTTTCTGACCCAGTCATCCTCATTATGACTATGACAGAGCTTGTGCCACATTCATTTTCCTTGTTAGAAACCTGACCAGAGTTATCACTGTCCAAAGGGTCTTTTCTTCCTCTGGGGAAGATATTTTGGGCACAAGATCATCTCAGCCCCTCTAAGTGGAAGCTGCCTTCCACCTCCAGAGAAGCAGATGCCCAGTTCAGGACTGGTGCCCCCAGCAAGAGCAGCTGCTGAATGTATTTTCACTGCTGGACAGCCCCAGCTCCATCTATTACAGCAGCAGGAGGAACCAGAAATTTTGGCGCCCTTGCTTATTTGTGGAGGAGTTCATCCCCACGTGGGCAGAAATGTTCCTTTCTGCCTTGGCTAAACATATTTGCCAATGTTTTGAATTATTTTTAGCTGCAGAAGAACAGTTCCAGCATCCACCAGAGGTTTCAAGAACTGTATGTTTCCTCCCAGCTTCCTCCATCATTATTTGGTCCCCAAAACCTTCTGCTCCTCCTAAATGTCCCCATTGCTTGAAGCAGAACTTGGATCAGGCTTTAGAGCCTTAAGTCTTGTGTACACTTGTTTACACATGGGCACTAATTGGAAATATGGGAGGATGTGATTATTAAAAGTGGATTAACTACTCTGAATTAATTCTACACATAGAGGATCTTGTTGCTAAAGGGACCTGTTTCCACATGGTTGAAAGAGGGTCAGAAGAAAACCCCTTTAGCAGCAATAAGAGAAATTCCAGCCCTGGGCTGGAGCAGGCTGCTGTTTTTCCAGGAATATCCTGCAGGAGCAACAGGGAAAGGTGCACCTGGAGCTGGGAATCACACAACATCTCTGATTGTTCTGGGAAGGCTGAGTGGGATCAGCCAAAGTGGCATGCAAACAAGGCTGCCAGCTCTATAGAAACCTGTGGGACAGCCACTTGTGTCCCTTCATAGCTGCACATCCCAAGAAACCTGATCCATAGGGAAAAGAGGGTTTTACATGGGTAAATCCAGCCCCTGGGGCTGCACAGACTGCCTTTGGGACACACCTCAGCACCCCTCAGACCTCAGAGCAGAAGGGCAGGGGATCTGCTCCTCCAGCAGGAGCAGGAAAAGGAGCCAGTGGAATATGGGATATGGAATGCCAGGTACATCCAGACTTCCCCCTGTAATTTCTGCCCACTGAGAGGGAACACGCGGGCTGTCAGAACCGGCTTTCTCAGCTCGCACCTCCCAAAACTGCACCGTGCTGCCTGCCAAGGTGGCAACACCTTGGCTTTCTGTAATGCCTGCTGAGCGAGGAGAGCTCCACCAGCCCCACCACCCCCCAGCACCCCGAGGCATCTCCCCAGGGCTCATGGAGCAGAAGAGCTCCTGGAAGGACTCGAGGCCGGGGTGTTCTTACCGAGGCCGATGCCGCACACGACGGCAGCAGCGATGATGGACCCGGCCGAGGAGCCGTAGACCTTGCAGGCAGACTTGAGGAGCTCGGGAGCCAACTCCAGCAGGGACTGCACCACCCCAACCTGGTACAGGGCCAGGAAGCCGCTGCCCGAAAAGGAGAGCGAGAAAGGGGTGCTGGAAGCCCGGAGATCCTCCACAGCCATCTCGGGATCACAGCAGCGGATCTGGCTCGAGGTCTTGGGGTTGTCCTTTTTCACCAGGTGAACCTCAGGCTGTCTTCTCCTCTGCTGCCTCCAGGCTCATCTCTAGCTGCAGAGGAGTCCAGAAGATGGATTTTCTGCCTCCTTTTATGACAGCTCCTCGAGGCGTTGAGATTCACAAGCTATTTTAATTGCTGCCTGTGCTAAAAACAGAAATTTTCCCCTGATCAAAACAGCTCTTATAATCCTCAAACACAGCCAGCTCGGATGCTCAGGGCTGTATCAGGGGTCCCCTCTCATGCCAACAGGTCTGCAGTGCCCCAGGAGTCCTCCCAGAGAGGATCCTGGTGTTGCTGTGCCTGTCACACTTGGGAACATCCGTGCAAAAATTCCTCTTTGCTTTATCCTTTCTTCATCAAAGGGTGTTTTCCTAAATTGGATTCTCCATCAATCCCAGCTTAGGCACAGCTCAGTACTGAGTGAGTAAAGGCTTGTATAAGACACTTAAAGCCAGAGGGTGTTACACAAGGGGTGGATGCAGGGCGTTACGTTGGGTTAGGTTTGGAAATATTCCTTAAGTTTGCTCCCTGTTGGAAGGGTTTTGCCCTTGCCTGACCCTTGGATATTGTTTGCATCAGGAAAAAAACAAAGACCTGGGTTTGCTTTTCTCTCCCCTCCCAATAAGGCCCTACAGCAGCATCACCTTGCCCAAACCTGTGGTTATTCAACCAGAATCAAGCTGCCTTTGAACTGTCTGCATTGCCTGGGGGATAGTTATAAAACCAGGGAGAATTGCCATAGATTTCTTGTCTTTTCTAATGATCCAATGCTGCTGCCAACATACAGAACAAAAATTGCCATTTTAACAGATGTATTTATAAAGTACTGGTAAATATTGTGTCGTTTCTGTTGTCCAAATCCATAGAGCTGCTCACTGAGAGGGAACATTCTGTGGGTTAGAATTAGGGCTGTGTATACAACACAACATGTGGGTAAGGAGCAAGGCTCTCCTTCCCTGTGTGCGTGCACCAGCCTGGCCAGCATGGTCCCAGCATCCTGATACCACCTTTGCAGTGCTGTTTCACCCCAAATTTTCATACATTTTTCCCTGCCTTCCCCAGCCATGACTGTGTCCCCAAGACAGGAATTGGAGCAGAGTCCCCAACACTGACAAGCAAAATGTCCCTGGGTTGAAATGTCACCAGGAGCTGCAGGTGGACATTGCCCCAGGTAAATGTCACAGCATGGCCAGGGCTGGTCTCTGGTGCTCCCTGCATGTCAGGACACACGGGAGGAGGTTGCCAGTCCCAAGATATATTTAATAATGAATGGGATTATCCTGGAGGTGAACAAATGCCTGAATCAGGGCTTCTAGATCCACAGCCTTACTGGAGCCCCTAATTTCTTGTCTTTCCAGTGCCTGATGTTTCTCATGATCCCCTTGCTGGGTGAGTCTCCCACACACCCCAGCCTCTGCACCAGCCTCCTGGAGATATCAAAGCTTTCATCTGTGTGATTCATGCCACTGGCTCCTCCAGCCCTTGGCAAAGCAAAACCCTTCATTTAAAGGATTTTCTTCCAGCACTGGCAAGTTCATGAAGGACAAAACTCTCACCTGTTGCTGTGACTGGTCCAGACATGCCAGGGCACTGGAAGTGCAGAGGGTTTGTGTGCTGGAATGAGTTGTTCCCATGTTCCCTGTGCATTAACTGTTGGAATGAGTTGTTCCCATGTTCCCTGTGCATTAACTGTTCCTTTTGTTTGCCTCAGGCCCCCAGGGACTCCATCAGGCTCTGCATAAAGAGCTGTAGGATGCTCTAGCTTCACTCGGCCCTTGCACCTCCTCAGCCCTGCCCAGCCCTGACTGCCAAGGTGTGACCGTGCTCACAGGGGTCCCAGGATGAGGGAAGGGATGAGGATCTGACTCCATGTTTCAGCAGGCTTGATTTATTATTTTATGATATATATTACATTAAAACTATACTAAAAGAATAGAAGAAAGGATTTCTTCAGAAGGCTGGCTAAGAATAGAAAAAGAAGGAATGATAACAAAGGCTTGTGTCTCAGACTCTCTGTCTGAGCCAGCTGGGCTGTGATTGGCCATTAATTAGAAACAACTAACATGGGCTAATCAAAGCCCTGTATGTAAACATTAATCAATGCAAACCTGTTGCATTCCACAGCAGCAGATAATCATTGTTTACATTTTGTTCTTGAGGCCTCTCAGCTTCTCAGCAGGAAAAATCCTAAGGAAAGGATTTTTCATAGAAGATGTCTGTGACAGCCAAGGTTTGGGAAAAGTATAAATGATCCCATGGGAAACTGTGGGAACACACTCCTCTGTCCACACACAGCTTTGTCCTGCACTCATTCACAGGGGCTTCTCCAGCAGGGCCAAGGTGCCCAATCTCCCCTGCACCCCAGCCTGGGACAGCATCCAGGCAGCATTACCATCATCCTGCCTGGCTCAGTTCCATGCTCCCGTGAGATGAAACCTTGTCATCATCCTCTTAGTGACAGCAAATTTTGCATTAATTGGCTCATTAAGTGCCAGGCTGATTGTCTAAGCTGCTCTCCCCCCGCCCCAGCACTCCAAACAGGATTAGTGGGACTGACGGCTTTGGGGACACAGGATCCCACAGCAGCCTGGGGTGGTCTGCGGAGAAAGCCCCCGGCTCCCATGAGCCCTGGGTGGGCTGGGGGCTGTGCAGGGCTGGGTTTCGCTCTGGGCAGGACCATCTGCATGCCCAGATGGCCGGTGGCCGTGAGCCGGGGATTTCGTGCGAGGCGATTGTCTCCGCTCAGGGAAGCCACCACGGGGTGTTTAGGGCAGGATGAAGGTAATGCTGAGAGCTGGAAACGGCTCAAACCCCCAGGACTAATAACTTGCCCTTCTTTAAAACCTTCTTAATATCTTCAGTGGTCACAGGCAGCCAGGTCCCAATTTTATAACCAGGAGATTAATCCAGGGTGCTGGGATCACTCACGGGAAAGGACCAGAGCTCCAAAAGCCACCAGCCCTGGGTGGCTGCACTAAGGTGGCTGCTCCCCACCTCATCCCACCATGCCCAGCTGGAACAGCATCCCTGCACACTGGGTTGGGTTTTTTGGGAGCAGGAGCCTCCTGTGCAAGGGGCTGGGCAGGTTTGGCTCCTTGTTCCCCCAGCACAGCTGCCCCGATGGGTGGGAGAAGGTCCAGTGAGCAGAGAAGGAGTGTTTGGTTCAGCTGTGGTATTGGGAATGGCACAGGAGAAGGGAATGGGAGTTTCCCTGTCTGATGTTTCACCTGGCAGGTGCATCCCACGTGCTGATGGAAGATGATAACCTCTGGGACAGAGGATATTTGACTTTCCACTGGGAAGTCCATGAGGAGACAGAGCCCTTTTCTGCTCCATGCAAATCCCAACCCAGCACGAGCTCAGATGTAAAACAAATTTGGCTACAGGGGCATCCTGTGACCCTGTAAGCACATCCCCAGCAGCAGCAGAGGCCTGCCCCCAGCCCAGCAGAGCCCCACGGGTCTGGGCAGGGAACGGGAATGTCGGGGCTGTTGCAAACACACGAGGGCGGTTTCAGTCTCTCCCACAGCAAAATCTCCTGGGTTGGTTCCCAGCCAAAAGGAATCGCGGTGCTGATGCTGCACTCGTTGTTGGCAAGAGCCAGGAGTGGGATTTAATGTTTTCCACACTCTAATTATCCCAGGCTGAATTAGATGGAGCCCTGCAAGGTGTCCCCCCTCCCTCAGGAGCCGGTGACTCAATCCTGTGGCTGTCAAACAGCCCTGAAGGCTTTGGGGACATGGGGAAGGGCTGCTTCTGTCCTGTGAGGGCTTTTTCATTTTCTTTGGCTTTTTCATTTTCTTCCCCTTTTTCATTTACTTTGGGTTTTACAAGGACCAAGAAGGTTGGATTCTCCAGGAGAGCAGGTGCTGGGCAAACCTGAGCTGTCACCAGTGGCCCATGGGGGATTGTCACCCGAAATGTGGCAGTGACACACACACCCACATGTTTGTTTGCCACCACCATCACCTTCAACCCACCACAGCATCCCTCCTGCACAATGCAAACCCCAAAACTTCATCTCCTTCACCCCAGGCCAGCTCCACCCTTGCAGAGGAGATGCTCCACACGGAGCCCTGGCAACCCCCCAACCCAGCCCAGAGCTGCCCTAATCCATGGCCCTGCTTAGGGGTTCTGGGCCAAGATTAGCTGGAAACATTCCCAGTGATTAGGGCTTAAATCCGTTTGGCATTTCACATCTTCTTAGAGCTCATAGGTGAGACCCCTGCAGGTGTAAATCCCCTCAGTCCCTGGGGATGTTACAGCTCCTGCGCCACTTGGGAATGAGCTTTACCCAGTTCTTGGTGTCAGATCAAGCTGCTCTGGGTAGTAAATCTCCTTCTGCTGGAAAGGGAAGGCCTATAAATTGTAAAAATGGCAGGACAACACTGTGTATCTGCTCTCAGAGTCCCCTGTGCCACTTGGAATTTGGCTGGAAAGGAGCAGCCCACAGCAGCTGGAGCAAAGCAAACATTATTCCATCTATAACAACTCCCAGCAGACAAGCCTGGCTGGCATTTAGGCACCAATTTATTTGAGTTTTAGAATTTTTTTTCAAACTGGATTCTTGGCTGGTAGAAGAAACTAAAAAAATTATGTTGTACATTTACAAAAACATTTAGAAAAGCAGGTAAATAAATACATATGCACAAACAGCAACAACCCCTGAGGTTCAACACAAGCACTTGGCAGGAGCTAAAATACAAATACAGGGTGAAATGTGGGCTCTGTTTGATTTCCTGACTTTTCACCCCCAGCCAGGTGGGTTCAAGCATTTCACAGTTGCTGGTTCTCCTGAAAAGATTTTAAATCCACAGCTCAGAAGGTCACCCCGCATCCAGGTCACCATCAGGGATTGTCCTCCCACCACAAACGTTCATCCTTGGCTTCCCAGGCACCACGGGCCCCTCACAGCAGCTGGTGTCAGTCTGGGCTGTCACAGTGGTCTGTCCTGAGCTTTTCTCTCTGCTGCTGAGACAGAAGAAAACATTCTTAGGATCATGGAATGCTTTGGAAGGGACTGTCAGAGTTGAGCCAGCTACAATACACAGAATATCACCATACAATGTCAGAAGGCTTCAAACATCTGCTCTTCTTGTTCTTTAGCCCAACCTTTTATACCCTCATGTTCATGCAGTGCACCTGTGCTCTCTGTTCCCTCTGTGGTTGCTCAGCACACCTGGGCACTCCATGGCTCATTGTTTTCAATGCTGCTCACCTGCTTCTCATAGCTGCACCCACTGGGGATGAGGCTGGGCCAGCCCCACTCCCAATGACCCCAAACTCTGTGCCTACAAGGGACCTTTAAAGCTCATCCATTCCCACCCCTGCCATGGGCAGGGACACCTTCCACTATCCCAGGTTGCTCCAAACCCCATCCAACCTGTCCTGGAACACTT